ATTAGTTCCTAGAATAAAGTCATAGAAAGGGAACTGTTAGGACAAAACACACATACATTTTTGTGACTTTTAATACAGTCTATATTGCCAAGTTGGCTTGGATCTATTTTAAAAGAAATACAGGTAGTTACAGAGGCCATGAAAAGCAAGCACCTCCAGGTTTATATTAGATTGAACATCACCCTAAGAAAGGTACTTGCTTAAGGGAGTGGAAGCAGTGGGCAGCTACAGTTGGGGAGAGCTGCTGGGGGTGTGCAGAGAGCAGCCCAGCAAGGCTAGAATCTGAGCCTGGGGCTGTAGCTCAGGAGAGTGCAAACAGATGACCACCCATGTGTCCACAGCAGAAGGTGTGAGGCCAGGCTTGTCCACGTATGTCACCTGCAAAGGAGACCCATCTGCTCCATAAGCCAGGCTGGGAGACTCAGAAATACCTGCTCATGCCAGTGCTTTCCTGACTAGGGACTATGTGCTGCTGGTTTCTGAGTACATATGCATGAAAATATTTATTTTAATGGTTAGAACCTTATTTTATCTTGTAGCAGAAACATTAATGATCAATATAGCACATTGTTTCTTAAGATAAGCCTGAATTATAAAGCAATTTTGAAAGTGACTTGATTTAAAGTGCTTTTACAGAAAACCATCATGTAAATAATGAACAACTCTATAAAACTCATTTATTTCCAAAAAATACAAAGAATCTTCAGGTCAAATTGCCTTCCAACTTTCACTGGAGGCAACCAATTTTAAAAAAACTTTGATGAACCTTTCTGTTGAGTCTTCACTCTTTATAGAAAATTTCAGCAATATTTCATGTTTGGCTTCAGTGTTGAAAGAGATAGACAAAAATTTCAGTTTAGAATCCTAATATAGAGTTGAAGGGTTACCTAATACTATAATATACCTACTCATATTATAATTTCTTCTATAAAGTGTGTGCTTCATATTTATAAAAGTACCTATAGTTCAGAGATCTTTTGGTTTATGGGATAGTGAAGTATTTCAAAGATAATTTTAGTATATTCAGAAGTACAGCAATTCTCTTTATAAGCAGAAAAAAATCAAAAAGTTTAGCACAACATAAGAGTGAAATATTAGGTTCTTTATATGTATAGACATGCACATTTTCACTTTGTTTTCAGATGCAAATTACTAGGAGGAGGGATCTTTCTCATTCTTGAGAAACTCAGAGCTAAGATTTAAAAAAAAAAATCCATTAATTTTATTTTCTTTCAAGGTCCAAAGGATTTTTTTTTTACAGACTGCTGTTGAGATCAGATGGTCTCTAAAGAAATCAATCCAATTTCAATAGAAGAGCTATGCTGTGTTGGGATTTTTCATATAATCCAGTTGCTAAATGATACCAAGGTTACTTTGATTTAAAAGAAGGAATATAGACATCATTGTTCTCTAGCTTCTTCATTCTCACTAGATCAGCTAAACAAAAAAATCTTTCCCTAAAGAGAGAGAATGCATTTTTCATGATCAAGGAACATCAACATTAATAAAATAATATCCGTACTAGTGTAGAATGCTATTTATTTGGTGGTATCAAGCACAGTGTTAATGCCTTAAGTGCAAGCCATAAGAGAAAGGGTGGTGCTTAGCAAACTTATTGCTGAGTTTTTCCTGAAATGTCACTCAACTTCTGAGACCTATAGGTGTCTCGCTGTGAGGGACCCATCAATTTCCTCTCTAGATTTGGCAGTGAGCAAGAGAATAAGGTCATGAATAAAGAGTATCATCATTAAATCCAAATCTGAAAATGAGTTTCTATTGCAGAGGGAGGGAAAAGCTAAATCTTATTTTACACACCCTTCTAAATAGAGTTTTTAATGGTTTGATCTAGTGATGCAGGGAAACCCCTTTTATTGATGTGTTGTTGCACTGGTTTGTAAAGACACAAAAATAAAGAGATTCCACTTCTCAGGTTGTTCAATTACTATGTATATCAACAAATTTTTGCCTCCTGTCACCTCTGTCAGTCCTTCCCTTCCCACTGCAATGGATATAATTGGTCTTGTGTGAAAACATTTTCCAGAAAGATATTGTAGCTGTGATTTGTAATTTTGTCTAGATTAAGTTTTCAGATCAAGTTTCTTGAAACCCCAGTCTTTGATAAATGCACTCCCTGAAAAAGTGTTCATTGTGAGACCCAAAACGGCTGAGGCGCTACTTGGATCTATCAGACACAGAGCTGAAGAAACCTCTTGGGATGGTCTCAGACTGCCTTGTGCTAAAACTCATGTTGCCTTGTGAGTCAAAGTTAGAATGTCTGATGTAAAACATAACTGTTCTGTGTCTTCTTTAATTCATATCAAGTAGTAAACATTATGCAAGCAGCACACTCTCATTATACAAAAAACTGAAAATAAGATACACATTCAGGATAAAGTCTCCAATGTCATCACCTTGACATAACTATCGTTAAAATTCTGTCTTTTAGCTTTTTTCTTGAGCATCTGTGTGCACAACCTCTCCCTTCCCCTCTCCCCCTCCCTTCTGAAAACTGTGAAATCATGTCTTGGTACTGATATTAAAAATTATTCTCCCAATTGCCATATAGCATTTTAGTAGATATTCCATGATGCATAATTTACATCATCTTTCATTGTTAAACAGTATTCCAGTTAGACATAACCCATAATACGCCAACAAATCCTTTAGTGCTGTATATTTATGACCTTTGGAAAATAATTCTCTTAGATTATGACTCAAAGAGACACAGTAGAGAAAAATTAAAATTAAGAGCAAGTAAACTATTTTCTTCCCTAAGATAACGGAAAGAAAATCAGATATATTGAACACATCCATTTATAATTCATTCCGTATCCAGATCAAAAAAAGATTACAGAAAGTATTTTTATTAGGCCTTTTCAGCTAAAAGTAATCTTACTTTAAAGTTTTCACCATGACAGGGCATATTCTAGTGTCACTTAATCTATGTTCCACTCAGGACCTCTTTACAGTCAGTCCTTCAATAGTACACACAATACCCATGGACATCTGTTTGGAAAGTTTCTAGGTCCCCAGATAAATAGCACTTACTAAGTGCTGGCACAATTTTCACTTCAATATGAGGCTAACTCTTCTTCAAGGGTCAGCCTGATAGTTCAGTGGACTAAAGCGCCTCCTTAGGCAGAGCCCAACAGCTAGGGTTTGATCCCCAGTCTGCCGTGCCGGCCCCACCCACGAGGCGTGCTGAGCTGGCGATTGAGACTGGGTGTGGCAGCACACACCTGTAATCCGGCACTTGGGAGGCTGTAAACAGGAGGAGCACTACGAGTCTGATTTACGCAGTGAGACCCTATAGACCCTGTCCTAAATACAGAAAAAAAAAATTCTTCATCAATAACCAATATTCACTGAGGTTGCACAAGGATATTATAAGCAGTGAAGTTGGTGCTTGTGAGGTGCTGACAGCCTGACCTGTGGTCCTGGTAACAGGCTGCTCCTAATCCCATCTGCGATGCCCATGATAGCAGCCACAGGTAAGCCACTTTTCTTATTAGCATGATCTCACCAGTTTCCCTAAGGAAAAGGTGATGCCTAATTCTAACCTAAAGCAAAAGTCCTTAATGTTTTAAATTTTCGGGTATAGTAGCCGTTGTCCACAGATTGAAACTTGGCCCCACTTCCTGTCCTCCTTTGTTTCCTCTGTAGAAATCTTAGGTCTCAGGAACTCACTGACTACACAGGTGCACTTCCTGGCATCCTAGGTCGTCTGTATTATCACCTGAGCCCATTTCTTCACTCCTTTCCCACCTGGCACTTTCTGTGCCACCCAAATCAAGCTGCCTGGAATTTGTCTACATCTCCCCAAAGCCACTAGCAAGTATTCCTGCCTGCATACATTCATTCATGAGTTTTATTAATCCAAAGGCTTCACCCTGCATCTGCACTCAGCACCTACATCTTAATTCCACTAGTTTTTAAAAACCCACCACAATTCCCATAAATTCAAACCACTGAGAGTATTTCAAGTGTTACATATTCAGGTACCCAAATATTAGAGCTTAGTACTTAGCATTAGTAATTTCACAAGTATTTTTGCATAGGAAGAATAGCATTAGGTGCTAATGCCAAGTACTTTTGGATGAACAGAATTTTATCCTTCTAAATTTTATTTAACACTGTAGCACCTTTTCTTTTCTTTTTTTATTTAGGACAGGGTGTACAGGATGTATAGGGTCTTATTGCGGAGATTGGACTCATAGTGATTCTCCTGTTTACAGCCTCTCAAGAGCTGGGATTATAGGCGCACGCCACCATGCCCAGTATCAACTGCCTATCTTAGCGCAACCCAGGGGGCAGGGCCAGCACAGCAAGCCCAGGGATTGAACTCCTGGCTCCTGCATCTGCCTAAGCAGGTGCTTTAATTCGCTGAGCTATTTGGCCGGCCCTTGTAGCACCATTTCTATGGCACCTGGGTTATATGAAAAATCCCAACACAGCATAGCTCTTCTACTGAAATTGGATTGATTTCTTTACAGACCATCTGATCTCAACAGCAGTCTATCAAAAAAAAAAAAAAAATCCTCTGGACTTTTTTCTATTGTCTCATCAAAATGTATGTGAATGTTGGGTGTCCCCTGATATACTGTGAGCTCTAATGGGTATGATTTGCCTCCAGTTCATCTTTGGGACACTAGAAAACCTTGAGATTTTTTTTTGTGGGCTGAGTAACTATTTTATATACTGTATTAATTATTTTCTCTCTGCAGAAACCTTCAAGGTGTCACAAATACTTGTAGGTTTAGACAATGGGGTGGTGGTAAATGACTGGCATTTAAAAAAGAAGTGCTCAGTTGGTAATTGTGGTTCTGGGTTGCCCTGGTGCTGGGTAACCAGCGGCAAATCTACTTACCATTTTAGTCCTAAAATTCAGGGCTAGTATGCATATTAAATCAAGATAATACATGGGGACTGGGGATATAGCTCAACAGCCTATGCAAGGTCCTTAGTTCGATTCCCAATACAAAAAAAAAAAAAAAAAAAGAGTGCTCCATTCAGCAGCACATATACTAAAGTGGAATGATATGGAGAAGACTATCATAGTGCCAGCACAAGAATGACATGCAAATTTGTGAAGCATTTCATATTTAAAAAAAATAAAAATAATATATGGATGTCCCATCTTACTTAAGTCTCTATTTGAGATTATTTCCCATTTCCTGAATGAATTCTTCCTCCTGAATTCTTTGTATCAGTAGTACTGATATTCACTGAAATGTTCTTCTTTACTCCCTTCTCCACTCATCATTTGGGCCTGTTAATTTCCATCCTAGACATTTCTTGGATCTTTTCCTAATTTTGCAGCCCCCCTTATTGGGGCCACTACAGCAGCCCCTTCCCTTCTGTGTTTCATATCTATGCTCCCTGCCCTCTAATCCAACCTCCTCAGTGATCTTTTCCAAACATAAATCTTTCTGTTTCATTACTTTTCTTTCAGCCCTCAGGGTTTCCTCATCATCCTTAGGATAAAAGCCAGTCTTCCCAGTGAATAAGAGGAAGTAATTTATAATGATCTTTTGTTCTTGGTACTAGTTGTCCCAATCTTTGTGGTTCAGTTGAATTTAGTTATCAATTTGTAACCTTATCTTTTTTTTTTTTTTTTTGCCCCTGGTCTTTTGATTAAGCTGTCCCATTGTCTGGAAAGTCCTCGTCCTGCACCAATTTCCATTCTTTCTTTTCAGTTCAAACACTGGATTTCTTGGAAAACTTCCTCAACAGGATTCCTTCCCCAGGCTTGGAAAGGTGTCCTTCATATTTCTACTACTGCAGTAATAATTTTCAGATGGCATCATCATATATAACCATCTGTTTTTCCTAGAATATGAGCTCTATTCTTTGTTTGTTTGTTTGTTTTGATACCAGCAATTAAACTCATGACCTTGTGCTTGCCAGCAGGTGTTGTGCTGCTGAGCTATCTCCCCGGCCCTAATGTATGAACTCTTTAGGTGAGTGTATGAGTCAGCATATTAGTCAACTTTCCTGTACCTGACACCAACAATTTAAAGGAGAATTTCAGTTTGGGCTCGTGCTTACAGGGTATTTAATTTATGGTCAGCTGGCACAAGGCAAAAATGTCACAGCAGAAGGGCACCATGGCAAAGCAGCACAGTTCGTGGTGAATGGAAAGCAGAGAAAGGAAAAAGCCCAAACTGAAATTCTCCTTTAAATGGTTGGTGTCAGGGACAGGAAAGTTGACTAATATGCTGACTCATACACTCATCTAAAGAGTGCATACATTAGGGCCGGGGAGATAGCTCAGTGAGTAGGCGGTGGAGGTCCAGAGACAGAGCCCAGCGGCACACGCAGGCACACTCAGCAGCCATACTCAGATGTGTGCTTTAGTCAAATCCTCGTAGCTCCCAGGCTGATCAAATCAATGCGAGACTTGAGGCTTCCACACCCACAGCTCTACCAAGACTGACACAGAATAAGCATTCAAAAACTACGAACCTCATTACCACATACACCCTTACTGCAGTTTGTCTTCTGTATATGGTGCTTCACTTGACTTTCCTTTGCCAAATAAAGTTAGTTCTGGAATACAAGGACAAAAGAGACTTTAAATTTAAAAGAAGATGTTGATTTTAAAGCTTGGCAATGATAAAACTGCAATCTGATAAATTCTTTGAGAATGACTGGCAAGGTTTTCAAAGCTTATGAGGCTTACTTGGAATGCATAACAGCTGGATGTGCCCTGCAGGAAAACACGAGTCACAGACTCTACTGTGTGTAAGAAAATAGTGAAGAAACAAAAATAAATGATATTTGCCTGGATTGTTATATTTTTTAAAGTTACTGTAGTGCACACTCATAATAACCTTACAAAAGGACGCTGCCTACTTGACATTGCAGCTTGTGTAGCTAACAGACATCTCAAATATAATATGTGTAAAACAAAGCTCCCACTGTTTTCTCCAAAGCCTGGTCTTTCTTTATCCTTACCAATGAAATGAACAGTAATTCTACTCTGTGTCTGCACTACAAGCCTTAGATTCATTCTCAGCTTTTTTTCTTGACACTCCATATCAGTAAATTCTGTTAAAGTTGTGGATATATATATATATATATATATATATATATATATATATATATATATTTCACAGTCAGACTACTTCAGAACATCCCCACCTAGGACAAGTCACCATCTTCTCTGTCCTTTTTCCCTATCCTTGCAATCATCTCGGAACTTATCCCCTTCTGCTCTTGACCCATTTAGCAGCTTGAGTGATCTTTTCCCAGTATGAACGTCAAGTTATTCATTCCTCTGCTCAATCTTCACCTCACCATTCATCACCATCCCCACCCATACATTCCTCTTTTGATTCAAAGGAAGAGAAGAGGCCTTAGACTGCTCCAAGGCCCAGCTCCCCACTAGAGTGGGCACTCCTCTCTCCCCTCCACCTTGCTCTTCCTAGCAAGTGCACTAGCCTGCTCCTCTGGTTCTGTGGTTCTCCCTGCTTCCACCTCAGCAGGCTCATGCTTATTTCCTCATCTTGGAATGTCCTCCCAGATATAAGCATGACTCTGGTCTATACACAGATTTTATCTTTTCAACAAGGCTCTCAGAGAATGTGACGGAAGTAAAGATTGTGAATTTTAGAGCCTGGGCCTCAAGAGATTTTGCAACTTCTGCCTTTGCTCTTCTGGCATGTCCCCAAGCAGTGCAAAAAAACCTGCACCAGACACCGAAGGATGGAGACAGTCCATATTGAGGGAAAGTCTGGCAGACAGGTCTCTCCACCTTTGAGTCCACATTAGGGGCCCCAGGCAAGATGATCTGTCCCATTTACCCACCCACAGAACTGTGAAAAATAGCAAATGCTCTTTGTTTTATGCTACTAGACTTAAGGAGGTTTGTTATATAGTAAAAATATAGGTAAGAGCAGCACCAAACATTTCAACCTTCCTCAGATACTTCCTTAATTATTTGTTGTGCCCACCTCTACTAATTAGAAAAAAAGCTCTATATGGGTAGGGCTTCTTCTTCTCTTTTGTCTATTTTATTCTGTCCAGTGCATAGTACAGAGTTGGTCAATAGGTTCTCAATAAATATTTTTTTAAATGGACAAATGAATTACTATAGTTTTGCAAAGGGCCTTGCACATTATTAGGAAATATGTGTAGTTGTCTCCCCAAAGACTCATGCAGTCATGGGGCAGATTACTAGACTTGGTGATTAATTTCTGATCCAATGCTTGGATTATGGTGTGAGTGCTGCTGGGATTATGGGTAGGAGTGCTACACCCTGGCCTGGGGCACATAGCCTAATGCAACATAGAGGAGACAGACTTGCTCTCTGTAGCCACTGTTGCCACTACTCCTCCCATTTGTTCTTGTTGTTTTCTGCCACTATGAACTGCTGCTCTCTGTCACATGCCACTCTGCCTTGGTCCCAGCTAAGCAGGGACTGAAACCTCCACTGTGAGCTAAATAAACCTTTCCTTCCTTAATTTTGGGTGTTGGGTATTTTGTACCAGCAACAGGAGAAAAGTAACTGAGACACAGACCCGCCAGTATAGTCCCCACCTTTTAAAAGGGAAACCTAATACCTAGTGAAATTGCACAACAATGTCAAAATTAGAGAATACAACTTCTTGTTTCTAGTTTTTTAAAAAAAATTCAATTTTCCACATTTGTATGATTTTGCATATTGAGGTCTTTTGTATATGAAGTAGAATTTTTAGCATTCCAAGTGACAAAAATTCAGGTTGGGTCAACAGAGATAGCTCAGTGGTCTAAGCGCCTGCCTGGCAAGTGCAAGGACCTGGGTTTGATCCCCAGTATCATATGCTGTGCTGGTCCTGGAACCCCAGGCTCACCATGCAGGCTACAAAAACTAGGTATGGTGGTGCATGCCTGTAATCCCAGAGCTAGGGAGGCTAAGACAGGAGGATCACTATGAGTCTGAGTGGTGTAGTGAGACCCTGTATCAAATACATCCATCCATACATACGTACATACATAATTTTTAAAAGCTTAAAAAAAGAAATCCAGCTTGATGTATCTTTTTTAAACTATAAACAATGTGCTCATTCACAAACTTGGAAGGCTAGAGGCCCAGGGGCCCAAATGATGCTGTAGAAGCAGTTACTCTCCATTTCCTGGATAGAGTCTATCCACTGTCAGATTAATAACTCCAGAGAATAAGGCTGATCACTCCTGATAACAATGCCAGACAGCACCCAGGGGCCTGCCCAGTGCCCATGGCTGGACCAATCACTGTGGCTGGAAGGGTGGATACCTTCCTTCTTACTGGCTGGGCTTGGTTTATTCTTTGCATGGATTTGGGGACCTGGGTCAGCCTTATCTTCCTCACATGAAATGGACTTCTTGGGAAGGGATATTGCAACAACAGAGCAGAGCTAAGCAGTACAAAATGTAGTGAACATCCAGATGTCTTCTCACATTGTATTTGTTGCATCATGCAACTGCCTGTAAATAAGCCTTCTCTGATAGCAGAAAATAGGTAAGTGTCACTGAATTCCCCCTAGGAAAAAAGACCAGTAGCAAAGCAGGAGACACTTCACTTTGAATGGAGAAGCAGGCAGATGGGATTGGGAAGCTTGCTGAGATTCTCTTGCCTAATTCCAACCAGTACTCTATGTGGAAGATTTGCAATTTAAAGATGGGATGGGCAGAAGTCTACTTTGTTAAGAATCTGTGCTAAGCTTCCTTTCGCCCAGAACTGCCATCTTCCAGTAATTTTCCAAAATGACTAACATGACGGGCAAGAAGAGGGGAACCTGGTATATGTTCTACAGGCCTTTTAGAAAACATGGGGTTGTTCCTTTAGTCACATACATGCAAATCTACAAAAAGGGTGATATTGTAGTCATCAAGGGAATGGGTACTGTGCAAAGAAGGAATGCCTCACAAATGTTACCATGGCAAAACGGGAAGAGTCTGCAACATCACCCATCATGCTGTTGGCATTGTTGTAAACAGGCAAGTTAAGGGCAAGATACTTGCCAAGAGGATTAATGTGCATATTGAGCATATTAAACACTCAAAAAGTCATGATAGCTTCCTGAAACGTGTCAAGGAAAATGATCAGAAAAAGAAGGAAGCCAAAGAGAAAGGTGCCTGGGTTC